AAGCAGATGGCTAGCTGGGGAGGAGGACCATCCCACAGAGAGGTGTGTCTGGAAAACCAGAATGGAAAAACCGAATGGTCTGCTGAGGAATTAGGAGCAGCTAAATATCAACAGAGAACAAGAGAGAGCTGGGGGCTGAGCTGTGAGAGGTGGGTGGGGCTGGACTCAGAGATCCAGGGCAAGGGCTTCTAAATGCTACCCCACACGCTTTGCAGGAGCTTTTGAGAGGTGGAGATGTGAACATCCTCTAGAAATCTCTCCACGGCTGCTGCTCTTGTCCTCGGCAGCTGTGGCAAAAACCACTCCAAAAGCTGGGTGAAAGCGAGCACTCATTGGCCCCATTGACTCACAGAAAGATGGGAAAGGGTTAAGCTCTGTTCACAGCTCTGCAGCCGCTCTTGCCAAGTCTGAGAAATGTGATGCGCCCAGGAAGTCCTAGATTCTATTTTAGCAGCAGTCGGGAACCACTCTCCTTGGGTTGGTGATGCATCCACAAAGTACCTACCCACAGAGTTGGGAAATGTGTGAATTAATTTAACACCAAGCCGGGTTTTCCCTGAAGTCCGGGCTCTCTCTCACGTATGTCCACTTCCACCTCCCCCTCCAGCTAGAAAGGGAAGAGCCAAAGGGAGGACAGTCCCCACAGCTGTTTCTTCCCCTCTGCTGTCACATCTGCTGTGAAATGGGACCAATAATGTCTACCTCACCATTGGTTGGGAGAATGAAACGAAATAGCGTGAGTCAGGTAGGCAGGCCGGAACCTATCTACAGGATACACTCCGGAAAGGCAGACTTTTGTGAATGTCGTCCTTGTCGTGGTCTGCTGGTCTCACCCCAAGCCTGCTCTTGGGGTAGCAGATACAGAATAAATGAGCTGTCATTGGCCGACATGGCTAACGGACCAGGTCACTCCTTGCCCTCGTGTGCAGACAGCCTCTCGGTCTCTGGCAGCCACTAATCGTAATGAATAGCTAATATTTCTTGAGATCTCACTATGCTACAAATGAGTTTTTCCTTTTAATCCTCATAAAAATCCTGCACTCTGGAAGCATTTTACGTTCACAGAAGTTGAGGTGGAGTGAGGGTAGCTTGCCCGAAGCTTCACAGCCAGGAAGGGCCCAGGCTGGAGTCCGAACACTCCAGGGGCTGCTGTCTAACCAGAGCCTTGCACTGCCTCCCAAAGGGACCTGTCCGAAAAGGGAGCCCTGAGATGTGTACCACCTCTCGTTGTTCTCAGAAACTGAAATAAGCTGAGTTTGGTCTTTGCATAGGCATAGCCCTTTCAACTAGCATGTCTGGTGCCTCTGTCTTCTCCTCCAAAGTCCTGGTGTAAAAGGAACGAAGAAAGAATCCTTTTAATCCTGGTTCCCTGTAATTACTGGGGGAAAAATCCTCAGAAAATTCCATTGCTTTTTTGAGGAATGATGTGGTGCTTGTGCTAGACAATTAGCCCAGTGAGGGGACTCTGTTTATTTATGTAATGGGTGCAAGGCCGACCTCTCCATTAGGCCCCATAGAGGCAGTACCTAGGGCCTCAAAACTGTTAGGGGCCCGTGATAATGCTGCAACTTTCATGTCTTTTTTTTGTGCAAAAACAGAAGAGAATAATAAATAATATTAAATATATAATAATGAATCCAGCTCAGATTTTATTCATTTTTATACCAATGCAGTTATAAAGTACAACTTTTAACATTTTAATTAATTAATTAATTAATTAATTTTTAAAGATTTTATTTATTTGACACAGAGAGAGAGAGAACAAGCAGGGGGAACGGCATAAGGAGAGGGAGAAGCAGCCTCCCCCACACCCCTCCACCAAGTAGGGAGCCCGATGCAGGGCCTGATCCCAAGACCCTGGGATCACAACCTGAGCCAAAGTCAGATGCTTAACCAGCTGAGCCACCCAGGTGCCCCTTAGCATTTTTTTAAATGGAGGAATGGTCCCCAAGCCCCAGCCCTGAATGGGTGAGGGTTATGTGTAAATGCACAGAGTCTGATACGGGGTAGAGCTTAGACAAGGTTCATTTCCTCCCATCTGTGCTTTAGGAAGAAGAAGTGCAGAGGGGACATGTGACACCACGCATACATAGGGGCTCAATCCATGCCCACTGACGCCTTCCCCATCCTCTCCACCCTGGAAACGGGCAGTGCAGTGCATGTACCATAGGGCCCTCTCCTGTGTGCCATGGCTGATCGGTCCAAAGGGCACTCTTGACCAAGGACAGCCAATAGGAGCTGCTGAGGGGGAAGGAAATGCTGTCCAAGAGGTACTACCATGAGCAGTGGCTGAGCCAAAAGATTTGAAGCAGAAATATAAGGAAGGAATCAACAGGCAGACAGAGCAGAACCTAGAGAAGGCACAGAAAATGGAGATGGAGTCAATGAGTAGTGGAAATGGTGATAAGGAATAAGGATCCATCAACTCACACTGTGGGTAGGGTTCGGTGATCTGGTTCCCAGATGAACTTCAAGCACAAAACCCACCTGCCTTCACTGAGCACCTCCCATTTTCCAGGCACCAGGCTAAGTGTCTTATATATATCGTTGCATTTAGCCTCCCAATAACCCTATAGATTCTGTTTTATCTTTATCCTATCTCCCAAATGTGAAAAGGAAGCTTAATCCATTTTCTCAAGCTCAGGCAACTTGTAAGTGAAAAACCAGATCTCAAACCCACACTGTTGGACTTCAGAGTCCACAGTTGAACCAATAACCCATCTTGCTTGGCCAAATCTCAAAGTCCATTCCAATGTCCATGACGCTCAACCGTTTACCTTTCCTGGGTTCTCTTGGGATCCCAGCCCCCATGACTTGACATAGTCCTGTTGTTTTAAAAAGACAACAGCCCAGGGGAAGGTCAAGAGGGAGAGAGCTGGTGGGGTGAACAATAGGGACTAAATACAAAAAGAGAAGCCAGGGAGAAGCAACGTGCTGGTGAAGAGAAATAGCCCGTTTGCCAGATCTTGGTGAGAATGAGCTTCAGTGGATTAGGAAATGCCGGACCAGGAAGAGACTGCAGGGCCCTCAAGACCGAAGAGGTTGTTTTCCCCCCAGAGACAGTGTCTTAAATGGGAAGAAAAGTGTACAGAGTGGTGTTTAAGAAACTTCATCTGGTCGCTTAACGAGGATGAATTTGTTACAGAAGGGATGAGGCAAGAGACAATTTTTACAACAGGAATGAAATAGAACCTTTGAACTTGGGTGGTAGCACGGGGAGTGGGGAATAAGGGTCACTGAAAAGAAAGACTGCCCCCGAGTATGTAGATGTAGGCAGAGTGGGAAGCAGAAGGCGGAGTCTTCTGTGATTAGGTCCAGACTAGTTCCCTGGAAGCACCAGATAACAAAGGCTGAGATTCCTAGTTGTCCGCACCATCTCTAGGATAAAAACGCAACGTTTCAAGCCAGGTTGAAGGAGGTTGCACAGGAGACACGCAGTATTCTTCATCCTCACTAGCAGGGTGATGTGGCAACGGGCCTCTCACAGAAACGGGCCTGTACTAGTGCCGAGACACGCCAGCCATCGGCGGAGAGCAGCCACCTCAGCCATCGGAAGAGAGGTGATGGCAGATTCAGACTGCAATGGCTGGGCCATCAGTCCACTGTCCTCGTCCCAGCAGATTTGAGGAGAGCCTTTTCATAGGTGCTACATGCTTTCCCTTCGTTTTTTGTTGTTATTGTCGTTTTTGTTTGTTTCTTTCATTTTGCTGCTTCTGTGCGGGCTTCCTGCTTAGGCAGCTTTCCCCTTCCTGACCGGAAGAGGGCTGCCATCGTTCCTGTTTCACACCTCACCCCACAAGCCAATGGGAAAGAGCATTTGCCATTTCCCAGCAGGCCTAGCAGAACCCTTATTGTGTATCATTGGGTCTAACTGTGTCACGTGCCCACCTCTGACCCAATCACTATTACTAGGGAAATATACCTTGCTGACTGGCTGAGGCCCAGGCCACAAGCTCCATTTTGGAAGGAGGAATGACCCTCTAGGCAGGCTGTTTGGTCGGTCCCCAGGCAGCAATGGAAAAGCGGAGAACCAGCGTTGGAGACACGACCGCGAAACGTTCTCGGTAATAGCGTTTAACGTCTTTGCACTTATTTCATCCTAGAACCCTGTTTTCAGAAAGCATTTTGCAGAGTTACGTCTGCAGAGTGCGAGGTGAGAAATGCTGCATCTAAGAAATAGAAGAAGTGTATTATATCTGCATCATTACACCTTCTGGATATTCTATGGAAATGGGTCATTTGAGTGAGGGATGTTAGCAAAGAGAAAAAGAATCTCCAGATTAAATGAGGTCACACGGTTGGTTGAAACATTCAGTTGTCCTTTCTTGATAGTCTATTCTCTTAGAGATTGTATTACAAAACAGATGCCAAATTTGCCAGATGTTCCGTGTTTTTAGGAGAAAGGCCAATTTGACCCCATACATTTCCTCCACAGTGTCCTTAATCACTTTTCCATTGCATCCTGAAGCCTCCAAAGTAGGAATCAATTAGAGGTCTTCATTCTACTCTTATCACAGATGACACCTATGGGAAAAAAGGGTCATGCCCTTCCCCTCCCTCTTTCCTCCAGGGAGTAATGCCCAGATGAGTTCCTAACAGAAAGAAATTCAGATCCAGCAGATGTGAGCCAGTAGGGCTAGGTGGCCAGTATTTCAACGTGCCGTGTCCCAGGCGTGTGTGAAATTTAATCTTCATTAGCTCTGAAGAGTTACGCGAGGATAAAACCATGTCCAAAATATCCATCTCCGAGAACTGTACTTAGCAGAATCCATTCTGAAGTTTATAAAAGACAAATAGTACCATTCCCCATGTTCTGTAGTTTCTCATTAGAATAAATGATAAGATTATCAGTAATAAGAAAAAAGATACAAGCAACAGCTATTATTTAGGGAGTCTTTTTCTGTGTCAGACACGCCACTGAGTACTTTATATGCACAATCTTGTTTCATATTCACAGCCATCCCATGGGGTAAGTAATGTTATTGTTTCCCATTTTAAAGATGAAGAAATTGAGACCTAAGAAAATTAAGAGCCAAGTTCAAGACCACATAACTAGTAAGTAATAGAGTCATAATTTGAACGCAGGTCTGTATAGTTTCAGTATATGTGTTCTTTAAATTAACATGCTACCCTGCCACTTAATGAAGGGACCTTGTCTCCACCTTGTATAGCTGTCTCATAGGGGTGCTGGGAGAATCAAATGCATCAAATTAATATGCATGAAAACATTAGATACCTCCTTACCTGCAAGGATTGGCCCATTGGAAGCTGTGGGTTTTGTTGGGACTAAACACTTTTTCTTTGTTATCATCATCTTTTAACTTATGTGGAAAGGCATTGCCAAAAATCTCTGATGCTCATGTCTGCCTTGAGCTGCCAGACCAGCACTAGTGACAGGTACCAGGGTTCTGTAAGCTCTGTCCCCCACTTATAAGTCGGGACCCTGACTTCTTACAGAATCTCCTCCTAATGAGCATTCATAGAAATCACCATATGCCTGTGTGCAAGAATATGGCCAGTCAGTACTTCATAGCATAAGCCATTCTGTGTCCTCTGCTCTGGGCCCCTTTTCCTGGGCACCTTTGGAAAACAAGGTACCATTACATTGTCCTCCTGGTGAATGGAGGACGTTCTCACTCCCTCTGTCTGGTTTGCCGATGTTCTCCCAGGAACCGAAGCTCCTGTGTTTTCCACTGCCCTCAAAGGGCTAAAAGGAAGTGGGATTGTGAAGAGAACGTTTTTGGGGTAATTTTACTGAAGTGTTGCATGCATATAGCAAGGTACACAAATCATAAGTGCTCGGCTCCAGAATTTTTAATAAAATGACCCCGCCATGTACCCAGCGCTGAGATCAAGAACCAGAACCTTTCTGGAGCCACAGACTTCCTTGTGAGTAAGGTTATTCTCTGCCCAGGTACAACCCCTCTCCTGAATTCTGACACTAGACATTCATGTTGCCGGTTTATGAACTTGATCTGAATAGAAACCATAGAGTATAGACTTTTAAAAGGCAAATTTCTTTTACTCATAAATTACGTTTGTGGTATATATTTGTAGTAATGAGTATAGTTATAGTTTATCATTCTCATTTCTGTATTGTATGCCGTCGTATGAATAACACAGTTTAGCTATCCATTCTCACGTAGATGGATATTTTGATAGATTCCAATTATGCAATAATTCAGAAGAGAAAATCCAGTTGTCTGAGCTAACACAGTGGGCCTCTTCTCTGGCCACACTAGAATAGGGAGAGGGAAGTCTGTCCCTTTGACTTTTGTAGTGGGACTTGGTTGTCAGGAATTTCCCTGCATCAAGGAGCCAATAATTTCTTCCAGAGAAATCCTGGTGTGGCTAGAATGAAAAATGGATACAAGGCAGCCAGAAATTGATGGCTCTTCATGCTCTAAGAGAGATATTTGTGCAAAGAATAATGGCCAATAGGAAGCAAAGTCATGCTTTTTGGTAGCTGGGGCTAGCATCCTAAACTATAACACAGACAATTCTAGCAGCTCATGTGTTCTAGAACCACGTGGAACACTTTTTTCGAAACTGGTATAGTAGTTTCTTAGAGCTGCTATTTAAAAAAAAAAAAATGACCACACACTAAGTGGCTTAAAACAACAGAAATTTGTTCTATCCGAGTTCTGGAGACTTCATAGGAATAGGAAATCAAGGTTTCAGCGGGGCTACACCTTCTCTGAAGGCTCTAGGGGAAGATACTTCCCTGTGTCATTGTCTCCTCCCAGCTTCTGGAGTTTCCAGCAGTCCTTGGCATTCCTTGGCGTATACCCACACCACCCCCATCCCTCTCTGTTTTGGTCTTGTCGCCTGTGCGTACCGCTGAGTGTCCTCTCCTCTCTTACAAGCCCACCAGTTACTGTATGTCCCGCCCACCCCAATCCAGTGTGAGCTCACGTTAACTAATTATACCTGCAGAGACCCCATTTCCAAGAAACTCCACAGTCTGAGGTTTTGGTGGACATGAATGGGGGGCGGGAAACATTGTTTGGGTTTCAAACCAGAACAACTGGTGGGTTCCTGCCCCTTTTAATTCCCTGACTACTTGCTGGGACCAAGACTGATAGATTTTTTTTCTTTTTAGAAAGATCAATTTATTTATTTTAAAGAGAGGGAGCGGGGAGGGGCAGAGGGAAAGGGAGAGAGAGAATCCTCAAACACCCTCCTGGCTGAGCATGGAGCCTGACACATGGCTCAGTCCCAGGACCCCGAGATCATGACTTGAACAGAAATCAGGAGTCAGCCACTTCACTGACTGAGCCACCCAGGCGCCCCTCCCCCCAGGTCTGATATTTTTTGCATCCTTGCTACATGAAAGGAAACAAAGATAGGAATTATAATCATGACCTGCTCTTTTAGTGATCTCCTGTAAACCCCCTGGACTGTAAACTTGATCTGATCAGATCTAAGAGCTGACCAGTCAGATCTGTAGGGCTCAGCGGCCAAGGGCCAGAGGCTGTAGCCAGACTGCCCAGGTTCAAACCCTGGTTTGACCTTTCTCCTAGCTGGGTGACACTCTTTGTGCCTTGGTTTCCTCTTCCATAAAATGTTGCTGACGAAAGAAGTTCTGTTTTGTAAGGTTGTAGTAGTAAAAGTTAACTGAGGAAATGGGACTGCCTTCTCAGTTGAGTGCCTGATACAGCGTCAGCACCAACTAAATGTTCTTCGTTTGTGTCTTCCTAGGGAAGTAGGTTTGAGAAAAGAGTCTTAAAAATACTTTTGCCTCCGAAACGCCTTACCCCAACAACCTTTTCCCCCTCCTCCCTCCTGTCCCAGGACTGACCCAAGCCCATGGGACCTTGGGCTGGAATGTGAAACCTACAAGACCTCCTGGTCTCGGTGCCCTTCTGAACAATCAAAGCTTTGTTCTGAGGTCAGACTTAAGGCTCCCAGCTCTGTTGTCCCTTTGGATGGGCCATTTCCCCAAGGCTCTCAGAGCTCATGAGCAACTAGACTTGAAGAGGCCCAAGCCATCAGTTTACCAAGCGCGCTCAGACAGGGCTCCAGCTCAAGCGGGGGGGGCGTGGCTACGCCCACTAACAGCTAAACACACACTGCTGTTTCTAGATTATCCCTACCTTGGGCTGGAGACCCAGCCCGACGGGGGCACCTGAGGCCCGAGCAAATCCCGAAGTTATAAATCAGGCCATGCCAGTATCACGCAGGGAAAGGTTTTGGGGCTGCCTCCTGTCTGAAGGCTCCCGCCCTCTGCCTTCATTTGGTGAATGGCAAATAAGACTGGCTTCTCCCAAGTAATGGGAGGCTGGCCAGGGGCCAAATTGCTATTGATTTTTCCTGCTAGGGTCTAGGCTGAGACAAGAAACTGCTTTTTGCATCAGCTGCGTGGGCCAGCTCGGGAAGGCGGGGTGGAGGGGTGGGGGGGTGGGGGTTGTGTGGGGAACTCCTTTGCAAGAGCCTGGGCCCCTGGCTGATGTCAGTGGAGGAGAGGGCACAGGGCACGTGTCAGAAGCAAGAAAATGACTCTGTAGCCGTCATGTGTTGGGTGCAGTGGGGGATGGCTGGGAGGACGCCGGCCTGCTGCACTCCAGCCAAGGGGCCAGTGGCTTTTTTGTTTTGTTATAGTTTGCAAAAATACCCTTCCGTATCTGGTCTCGCAGTAGGAAAGGGATTGACACTTGCAACGGCTCTTCCTTCTCCGGCCAGGATGATAGCGGCTAAGCAGAGGAGAACAGAACCAGAAGCTCTGCGTTCAGGCTGTGGGCCCCTCATACTGTGGATCCTGGAGCAAGAGTAGGAAGAGGGGCCCGCATGCATTATCTCTGAGCATTCTAAATTTGTAAATCTCACCAGCAAAATGTTATGTAAAATACATGCTACCCTCCAACCTTGACAATACCTTCCCGATCTCTGTAGCACCAGGACTGAATTTAGATTTCTCAGGATCCTTGGCGTTCTGTGGCAGAATATGGAATCTGGGGAGAACCACTCCCTACCACCCTGCCCACTGGTCTTCTCTCACCTCTGGCCCCATCCTGGGTGGTTGAAGAGACTCTTCCACCCTTGCTTGCTGGTGGTCACTCGCAGCTGCCCCAAAGTGAACTCAGGCTTGGGGAGTCCTTGTTGCTTGGCAGGTTTGGTCTCCCAGTAAGGAAGAAGGGAAGGGATGTGCTCTCATCCTGGAAAGAGGGTCGGGGCCACGGGACAGGACATTTTGGAATCCCACATACCCAGAGTGGGGACGAGAAGGAGCAGGGCCATGGGACCCAGATGGGTACATCCCCTCGTTCCCGGGGACTCTGTGGAGGGAGGCAGCAGGCCAGGGGCACCCTTTAACACTGGGGCCAGGGCAAGACCCTCTTGCCTAATTTTAAATGCTGTTCTGTCCATGCTAACAGCACTGTGAAATTCCAGTCCTGTGCCAGTGTGCAGACGAGGCTCATACGCCAGGGAGCGGTGCTTTCTGAAGTTTGGGGGATACGAGTCCTTGACTTGCCCTACCCCGCAAGGAAAATGTTCACTGGGACAATAGGGACCAACTCAGAATCAGGGAAACCAGAGGTCTGCACGGCAGCCACAGGGAGGGAAGCACCCCCGAGAATGGGGCCCGTGCCTTCCTTCTTGCCTGCTCTGGTCGGATGATCCCGGGCAGTGCTTCCTGCCACCATCCATGTGTTTTCTGTTGTTTCCTAATCCTCGGTTGGCAGGCCCCGAGGGCTGCATCCATAGTTTCGTCTGCTCTTTTGTCTGATGGGTTTCTTCCTACTTGCCTGAGCTGGCTGCAGTGAGCCCGTGAAACGAAGCTCCTCTCTTTCACAAAAAGATTCATCAAGTTCTTCTCTGAAAAGGCCTTTCCATCCTTCATTTTTCTCCCTCTGGCCTGCCATTTCCCTTTTCTCTGGGTCATATTATATATTTTTTAGCAGCCTTGGTGTTCCTGCATTTTCTGCTACGAAGTTGATGGTTACCTAACAGTCTCATGGACCTGCCTCCCAGAAGCTGAATGTCTGTTGCTATAACTACAATGCTCATAAATTCAGCCTCACTTAAAATTATGCATTTTCCAAACTCCCCCAGTG